TCATTCTTTTGAAATATTATAAAAAGTATGACACTTACAACATGATCTTGCTTGGTTTAATTACTTAAAGAGGAGGGGTAATAAGTGTGGACAAATTCCTCAATTGCAATAATACTAACTAAGATAACCGGTAATATAGTCTTGGTTAGAAAAAAGTTATAGATTTAGACGTTTACACAGCCGATACACATTACTGAACAATACCTACATGAGAAAAATATGGGTCAAGCAGAATTCGGAATAACTCCTCCTGAAGCCCCTCTGGGGCTACTGCCGGTCCTAAGTCCAGATAAAGTAGGAGGGCTAGGCATGGGGTTGGCGACCACATCCCATAGAAAACCAACACGTTAATTAACACTAATCAGAAAAAATAATTCACACTATTTAAACTCCTCCCTGGAAGTTCGAAGGTCTACATTTAGGCGTCCAGGATAAAAGCCGAATTCCTTCCGAAGTCAAAAGGCCGATGCCCTTTCTGAAAACCAGAGTAACCATTAATGTAGAATTTCGAATAGTCTCAGACCTAATAATGTATAGTAGGATTATCTTTGGGGGATGAATAACATCACATTGTACACTTTTAAAAGAACAATCAGTTTGATTTTGAATTAACTAGGAACTGTAGTCGTGGCGTCAACATTTTGATATCTTAAGACTTCAAATAAAACTCTGGTCTTCACAGAAATTTGAACATGATTCACTCAATATTTAAAACAAACTTATCAATACTGAGTTGTTAGGACTGAGGTTGCCTAACATACATGAATCCTGAACTTTTCTTGATATCGTCAATTAAAGTTCTCACTTAAATTTTTCGACACACTCATCAGTTATTTACTTATAAATAATCTGTAATTCATTTCTGTATACTCTAGTGTTAACCCTTGATTTTTCAAAGTTTTCTATATTTGAAATTATCTGTTTGATAGTAGAGATTTTGATTTCCGAGTTGCATTTTCTATATTCTGAATATTATGGAGGAGTTGGCTTCGTTATTCTCGAAGTTAGGTTCGCCTATTCTGTGGCGGTCGGTATTCGATATATTCTTAAACTTCATACACTGCTTGTCCTTATAACCGTTACTAGATAACACTCAACTGTGTATAAATCAGAAGGCAAATACAAAGCGTTGAAGACGTTTATCATCGCACCAAACACAGATCACAAAACCATAAGCATACGACACGAAAGTGAAAATGACATGATAGTGCTTGCCAGTGGTGAGTTCGTATCCACCACAATACGCCTGTTGTGTCCCGTCCTTCAATACACGAACTCATTGTGATAACATGTTGATGAGCATTCTCTCTTTATCTGTCTTCATAAAATATTCATCATTTTCTCAATTAGGCAGATTAAGAAAAACCGATGGATACCTGAGTAGATCTTATTGCGCTGCGATTCATGGAAAAGATAGTGGTGACCGACTGCTGCAGCTATGCTTCGATAACCACCTGTTTCTGCTGAACATCAACTATGAACAAGAAGACTAATATCTTGTAACATGACGAACCTCATAATTAACTCAATACAAGACCTAACTAGACCACATAGCTATCCGCCACCGATCGAGAGGCTCGATCGAAGACTGATGCTCATTCTGGGACACATGCTTAGATTTGGATCATACTCTAGTACAAGCGCGTATTTGTCCGTGTCTTACAAGTCGATAAAAGCCACAGCAAGGAAACCCCTTGAGTTCAACCTGATAATAAAAAAACAAAGAACACATTTCAGGAGTAACTGCAAAACAGTTAGACAATCATGTAAGTGATTCTCGCCCTGAGGCAGCGTGCGATAATATCGGGAAAGATGTGGAAACTGCACTGATTTTCACCAGCAAGAAAAACCAAAAGGTTAGGGAGAAACAGTGGATTTGAATAGTATCTACTGATAGAAGCTCAAAAGTGCACCCTATCTGGCTCTGAACATGATAAGAAGTGTGGTCAGCTTAAGCGCAGGCCGATAAGAAGCCTACTCAATGATCGTGAACAGTGGTGCGTAGGGCAAGCTAAAGAGATGAAAAGGGCGAGACTACCTCAGAAAGTAATCGGAATGTTATTCATTTTCAATCCAGTTGATTGGATTTATGAGGATCATTCGGACTAGCCTGCAGCCACACTTCGGTTACTCGTCATCTCCAGTCAACCTGAATGGCAGTTCGATGCAAATCCTCCGACTCTCAATGAAGTTGAAAAGGCTATAGGCAATCTGGGGCGATGGAAGAAAACAGTTCCCGATGGATTAACCCCTTGGGATTTTAACGATGGTGGTCCGGTTTTAACAGTAAGATGAACTGAGATCTTATCTGAAAGGTGGGAAATGGACTCAATCCTATCTGACTGGTCTCAGTCACTGATTGTCAGACTATAAAAAAGGACGAAAGTCCTTCTGTGACAGTCGCAGAGGTATCAATTTAACTGATGTAGTTCCTAAAATAATTCGACGCCTAACTGCAGCCTGTGAAGAGTAGACTCGAGGAAACCAGGCTGGTTTCATACCTGGAAGTGTGGAAGTGAATGTGTAGACTATATATATTTACACTTCTTCAGCTCCTAGAGCATAAACTCATATTTTGGCGTCCGACAATCATTGTATTCCTTGATTTAAAGGTGACATTCGACTCTGTCGATCTTGAGGTTCTATGGCAGTGTCTGCCGCAGAAATGTATACCGAAAAGGTACACTAACCTTACAAAGGCTCTCGACTTGGATACTACTGGCCGAGTGAGAGCTTACAGAGAACTGTCGTCGAAACTGATTACTTCAAGTGGTGTCAGTCAGGGCTGTCCACTTTATCCATTCCTGCTTAACTTCGTCAGTAACATGCTTTTAGATACAACACTTTCATCTTCTAACTTTTCATGAGTTGAACTTCGAATATGCCGATAACATAGTTCTACCTGGTGAAAACACCGACAAAACGCAGTATCTTTTGACCACTCTAAGCAACAATGAATGGATGTTTGGAATGCGAAATGTTGCTTCAGGTATGGCTTGCGTTGGCACCTGAACTAGTGATAGAGAATAGAGTGTTTGAGAGTATTGACCATTTCACTTATCTTGGGAGTCTCAATAGTGCTGATTTTCCGGTGAGTGACGAAATTTCAGCGCGGATACAAAAAGCTCTACTGGCTTTTGCCGACTTGCGTCGTTTATGGTGTAGGCGAGATTTTCGTCTGCTAACCAAACAATGAGCTTACTGTGTAGCGGTTCGCTCCTTCCTACAATATGGCTGTGAATCATGGCCACTAAGAATTGAGAATTTTTGTAGTTTAATAGCGTTTGACCATTGATGTCTGCGAAGAATTGGTCTTATCTCCTGGGACCACTGAGTAAGCAGTGCTGTTTTTATAAAATGAGTACTAGGAAGGTATGACAGATCGACTGATGAAGTACTGGATCTTCATCAGTTGAGGTGGTTGGGAAATGTGTTACGTGTACCCAAACACCGACTGCCTTCTCGAGCGACGTTTTGTTATGCAAAAGTAGGCTGGAAGGAAGCTAGAGGTGGCCAAACCAAAACACAACAACAATTCATGAAGTCTCTGACAACTGGACTGAACTACGTTAGTAGGTGTAGACTTCATAGCTGAGGTCTGTGAGACTATAATAACCGAGAGTACTGCACAACCTCACCCATTGTCTTCGGTAGTTACTGCCTAGACCCGATAGGGTAAAACTCCACTGATCACGAATTCTCACCAGATCTCGGAAGATTTCCTCACGCATCTAATCACTTGAGTACGTAGCACGATATTCATTTCAGAGTTACACAGGTTTATGTTTTACATTGAAGGCAGTAACCACCAAAGACAATGGGCGAGGTTGCTCAGAACCTTAAATTGATCAATTAGACATTAACACCGTTGGATGTCGGCTCAGTGGTTCAGAACTCAAGTGTTAGCACGCGAAACTGAAGGCCCTGAACCCGAATCCCGCGAGCGCAGTCGTGGATGCTCACTACTGAAGAGTTCCATACTAGGACTTGACGGCCGTCCAGTGTTTCTGGGTTTTTATTAGTGGTCTAAAAGTTATCAATTCATGATTTCAGTGTAAAACAATCTGCATAACTCTGTCTTGCATGTTAAAACTCAGATTTCATTTAGCTTGCTTAAGACATATCCACAAAAACATTTATATTAACATACTGAATTTGCATGAATTGACTTCTGCTGAAGAGTCTCCTCATACTACAACTTGATGGCTGTCCAGTGTTTCTAGGTTTCCAATGGTGGTTTGAGAATAATACTGTCGTATTGATTAAAGGTGTTTTTGAATATAAAATCTGATAAATTACAATATTAAAACAACCCTGGTTGAACAACTTAATCGCTTTAAATTTCTGCTATCCAGATTTGGTTACCTCTATCTTGATTCCATTTGGATAACCACTGTGTGTAGCAGAAAGTACCAGACGTTTCATTCTAGTGTTTGATGTGTTCATCTTCAACTCTAGGAAGAATTTACGGGCAACGACTAAGACAAATGATCATTTCCCACTTAATCTAGTTTATGATATTTTAGTGAAGGAGAACAAAGGTGGGGCAACGGAATTGTATTTAGCGTAAATTACAGAGTTACTCAGTAAAATAGGAAAACAATATCGTAACCGTTAATTTGCAAATCTTCAATCCATCATCAATCCATTGTCTGACATTTCACTTATTCATGCGTTTCATACAAATTCCATTGTGTTCCCACTCTTCCTTTCTTGATCTTCCCCCCATCTTCTGCTGTCAGACATTATGTTTACACTCACGTCATATACTACTTATAAGTAGCGCGCACCGCAATATGAACAAAATAATCGGAATTTCTAGATTAAGTTTTATTTTCTTTTTAAAAAGTACAAAGAAACTCACTCCTTATTCTACATTACACAATATGATATTTATAATTTCGTTTAAATTGTGTTCCTACTAGTTTGTTTTTTTTAAAATCTTACTCTTATCGACATTGAAATATATTCAATTTACATTGAATACAAATGATTAAATGTTCAATAATTGATCATCTCATTACATTTAATTAATATGCACTAATAATTCCGACAATCTTGGATCAGATTTCAATTTCTTCTCTAAATCCATATATTTTTGTGGTGCTGTTAATTTGTGCCATGATAAGGATGATTCTAATGTATGAATTTTAAATGTTGCTTCATTACAATAAAGTAAGTAGGCTTGTTCATCTTCTTTAGTTAAATTCATTTGATTCAAATGATACCATTGTTGTTTTTTCAGAAGATTATCAGTTTCTTTCTCTAAACGTGATTGAATAATATTAGCTTTATTGATTAAACGTTGTTTAAAATCATGCAAGCATTCATTACGAACTGTGATTGCTTGTTCAAATGTCAATTTATTATTGATTATTTCAATTTGTGCTAAATATGGTCCCAAATAATCGAATTCCACTTCTTTAGCACGATTTCGTTCAATTTCAGCGAGTCTTTCTAATTCTATACGTAATTTTTGTGCTTCTACATTACGTAGTGTATCAAAGAGATCAATGTCTAAGATGACTTGTAAATCTTCTGTTGTACGTTCATTCAATATTGATTGGATTTCAAATTCTGACTTGTGAATTAATTCTTTGGATTTCTCTTCTTCGGCCATTAAATTAATAAGCATATTATAAAGTTCAACTTGTGTTTTAGGTTCAGCAAATAAATCCACCTATGAATGACAAAAAAAATGTACAATTCAGATTATGTGAATTAGAAACGTATGAAAATATCGAACTCCATTCACTTTGTAAAAGGTTTCATTGTTCTGTTTAGCTCTCTTCGTGAACATGCAATAGTAAGTGGGAAATATCCATCAGATAAACTAATTTCATACTTTCTCTAAGAACAATCTGTGGTGTGAGCTACTTATAAGTAGTATATGACGTGAGTGTCAACGTGAGTGTCTGGCAGCAGAAGATGGGGGAAGATCAAGAAAGGAAGAGTTAGAACACAATGGAATTTGTATGAAACGCATGAATAGTGACAATCGATTGATGTTTTGCAACAGGAACAGTCCAGTTCGATATGATGAACTGATATTTTGCAAATTAACGATTTACGATATGGTTTTCCGATTTTACTGAGTAACTCTGTAATTTTCGTTAAATACAATCCGGTTGCCCCTTTCTGTGTTCTCGTTCACTACAAATCTATGATATAAACGATAGAAATTAAACCATGACCCCAAACCACGGTATCTTCATTGTATAATCATGTACTCAGTCGCTGGTAACTTCGAAATCCCATTCCAGGAGCTATAGTGAGAAGTCATGATTAATTGGATTCAACCACAATGAGTCTGAGTTAGATACTTAACAACAACAAAGAGCCAATACTCTTCAAATATGGCAAATTGTTTTTGAAGTTAGACATGTATAACACTAAGTACAGGTTTAGTGGCTTGGAGGTGATGCGTCATGCATGCTAACTGCTTAGAGACCTCAAACGAGAAGTAACCAGTAATCCAGTGCATTCTGGTGTTCAAAAGTTGTCCAACTAAGCTTAATCTTATTCTCTGTAGAACCCTCTATAGTAATAATTTCATACTTGCTAGAAAACAGGACTGTATTAAGTCTTCACTAACTATTATATACTGATGTATTTATTTATTGATTGATTGATTGAGTAAAAATGAACCGAATGTTTCCACACTGTCAGATTTATAGACCGATGAGTACCAGTTGGAGTTATTGTACTTTGTAACACCGAAAACTGAAGAAGGAAATATTAAAATTATCAGAAAGAATAATATAAATTAACTAGTATTCAGTAGTTTTTAATGAATAAAAATATTTAGGAGGGTTGATAGAAACACAGTGTACCTGCTCTACGTTTATCGACTTTTACCAACATTAAAAACACAGACGATCGATCATGAGTGCTTGACAGTGACCAAGACATTCTCATTCATCAAGAACTTACATTCCACATACATGATTCAAATCAACATTCATCTATCAACTAGATGAGTTCCTTCTACTTATCTATTCGACTATAAATAAACTTTCATGCTTACGATTTTTATTTCAACCAGTGTCAGACATATTTAGTTCTTCGAACATTCACTCTTATTCGATAATGCATCCAAAAAGGTCACACAAGTAGTGTCAGCTGACTAATGTCAATCGAAGCGTATGTTTCAATGTAAAAGAAGTTTTCAATGATCAATTTCTGTCATATCGGGTTGGTCGCAATGTTTGCATTCTAATTCCAGTACAGAACTTACTTCAAATGATGTATGCGTATCTGGATAAAATGGGATACCATCTCTTCGTTCATCTGAAGGTGGAGGTTTATTAAACTCTCTTGTACATGGTACAATACGTTCTTTACTAATATGATAAGTAAGAGAGATTTTCTCTTCGACTATATTAAATATTCTTTCAGCAACATCTTCATCTGCATCTTCATCTTCATTACGTGTAAATCGTTCAATGATTTTATCAATATTCAATTGACTAGTTGTAGATAAACCGAAAGCATCTAGATTTTCTTTATACTGTGTTGGTGCTGGGCCAAATTTCTTAATTTGTTCACCAAAATGTACTTCACGATAATAAAGACGATCTTGTCTATCTTTGAAATGTTCAATCATTGTATCAGTTGTTTGTTCACGTTTATACAAACCATCCACACGAGCATCATGATAAAATATCATATAACGTATAGCACGTAAACTTTGTTGTGTTCTATAATAACCATGTTCAGCTAAATGACTCGATTGACGACCATGATCAAATTTATCAACTATCCAATTAGTACTTAAAATTATATTACGATTGATTAATTTATCTTTACGATTTGCATAAGTTTCTCTTACTTCAATTGGAGTAGTTAATTCACGATCTTTAAAAATGGTTAATCTTAAAATTAAACCATCCGATTGTGAATATGGTGCAAAATGTTCTACAATTGAATATTTATATTGTTTCTTTTTAAAACCATTTGGATAGCGTAATTGAAATAATTCACGTTCAATTTGAATTGGTAAAGTCCATGTTGGCGGTAAATCTAATAATAATGGTTTCTCTTGTAAATTATCGATTGGTTCAATGTGTATTTTTCCACGTGTTTGATGTGTACTATCAATTAGACAAAGAGAATCATTATTACTAGGATTATAAGGATTAATTTTTGATTGTACTGAATTAGGTTTCATTAATAAAGGTGATATTGACTGGCTTACTATATTAGGCACATTAAACATATCTGACTGTTGAATAGTTGAAAATTTTTTTTGACGAATAGACAAACTATCATCCGGTAATAAATATTCCCAATATTGACTATCATTGAGATTATAATTTAAATGTGATATACCAGTTGAACAATCTTGCATATTTACCCAATAATTTTGATTATTCCATAAACTTTCAATGCCTAAATACATTGAACAATCTAATGGTTTCGATAAACCTGTAAGTGATTCAATGAAAAATGCTTCAGGTACTTCACGTTTCCCTGGTAATATTAAAACCCATGCATGTATTCTAAGCGCAAATAATGGATCCACCGCTGGCTTATACATTGCTTCTTCTGCACGTTGTGCTGTGATTTTTGCTTGTTTCACACGTTCCGCTTCCGACTGTACATCTCTCAACGCCATGGTCTGTTCATACTTGGATGCTAAATCTTTCGCTGGTTTCATAACATATCGTGCTGGCTTAGATTCATCATTATTCCCAGTATTGTTAGTTTCATTGAGGTCATCTTCATCAGTAGGTAGATATGGACATTGTTCTCTAGTCTCATCCATATAACAACATTCTCTTGTGGCATAACCACTAACAACATAAGCATCATAACCAGCTGCAATCAATAATGAACATAACAATGTCGCATATTCAAAACATGTGCCTTTTTGTAAATTCACTGTAGTCATTGGACTTAATAATCGTTTAGGCAATTCAGTAGTGGGTAACAATGGTACAAAGCTAAGAAAATCCGCCACAAATTTAGCTGCACCATACCATTCATATAATTCAGTATAATTTAAATATGTTTTACTCAATGTAGTACAAACAAATTTCGGTATATTACATTCATTCATTGGTGTAATGAATAATTTTGTACGATCAGGACATAGATGAGCATATTGTCGACAAAAATTTTCACAATATTTTATAAGATATGCTTCTTTTAAATTATTTTCTTGATAAGATTGTGGAAATGTTGACTGGTCAAATGATTCTGGAAGCATATCATAATTATCTGGTAGATAGAGTGGATTTAATTCTTTGCATTCTTGACTATTTTGAAATTCATCTAAACTATTTGTTTCTTGTAATGCATCATTTTCTTCGTCAAGTTCATTCTCATCATCATCATCATTATCTTGATCATTGGCATTGTCTTCATTTAATTTAAATTCACGTAATAGAGCGCTAATTTCACTCATTTTTTAAGTGGTTGTTTGTTTGTTTTAAATAATCAGCTCATAAATATGGATAAGCTTTTCGTTTTTTTTAGATTAAATAAAATATCTGTAAATTGAAGAAAATAATAAATGATTTATAGTAGAAATACTGGAAAAAATAATGTATTTACTATTCTTAACAAGTTACACAAGATTTGCTCAACTAGTATTAAAATCGCCAGATATTTAATTGATAATCTGAAACTGAATTGTACATGTTTTTGAGAACTTTTCAAATTCTCAAGGTCATTGATAAAATATAATCTTTTTAAGTGTAAGAGAGTTTCAGGAGACCAAATTCTGTTACTGAAGCCTTTTTATTTGAAAATCTTTTATACAAGGATAAGACACATAGATTTGGGATTTATAATGACCAAATAAAATGTTAATTGAACTTCACTAAAATTCATTTTCATCGAATGCTCACTTCTTACTTACTTATTTAGTTCGTAATCTTTTATGTATAATGTTTCTAAATGAACTAGAACATAGTACAGACAACTTATGAAGATGTTTACGAAATAAAGAGCCTTTAAATAGGTTGAAATATGTGACTAGGATTGTTAAAGACGTGACCAATGGAGTTCAACCCTGTCGAGTGTAGGCAGTAACTACCAAAGAAAAATGGGTGAGGTCGCGCAAAATCCCTAGATCAATCAGAGTTAGACATTAACACCATTGAATGCCGGCCCAGTGGTCCGATGGTAAAGAGTTCGCCTACAATGCCAAAGGTCCCGGGTTCGAATCCTGCGAGAAGCAGGAGTCGTGGATGCGCACCGCTGATTAGTCCCATAGCAGGACGAAAAGGCCGTCCAATGCTTCCAGGTTTCTAATGATGGTCTAACAATGATTGATTGATGATTCCAAATGTGTAAAAACGCAAACCTCCAAAACTGTGCCCCAAAATATTGTTAAAGATGTTGATTGTAAACTAAATCTCAAATCTCCACGAAAATCTCATTAGATAATAGAACAAAAAGTATGAGAATGTACAAAATATTTCAGTGACGAAATTGCTTGCATCAGTTCACATCAACTGATAACAAAATGGAATTTTCAACCAGTTTATACAGATCAGACTGCATTACTTTCTTACTTACACCCGTTGACCCTAGTGGAGTATAGGCCGCAGACCAGTATTCTCCAACCGTACTGTCAAGTTCTTCTCAACTGCTGTTCACTAATTTTATGTCTACTTCCAAGTATCCTGATAATTTGTTCTTTGGCCTTGAAGATTCTATTTGAGGGTCTGTCTTGTGACTCAGTTTGCTGCTGTCTTTAACTATGTGCCTTATCCACCTCCATCGCTTTTTGCTGATGTCAACGCAAGCTGAAAGTTGGTTTGTTCTCTCCTACAGTAGATTGTTGCTAGTGGTTTCTGGCCAGCGGATCCGAAGTATTTCGTGTAGATAACTGTTGGTTTCGTGGTTCTCCAAGTTCCCACCACGTACAGTAGAACTGTGTTGACATTTGTACTGAACATTCTGACTTTGGAGTTGGTTGATGGTTGTTTAGAGTTCTAGATTTGCTTTTATTGTGGAAATGCTACCCTCGCATTATCACTCAGAGCCTTCACATCTGCATCAGACCCACCATGCTCATCAATAATGCTACTCAGGTTTGTACAGGTTTTTCCTTCCCCTAAAGCTTCCATCAAGAGTGATTTGGCTAGTGCAGAGAATGTTGCTCTTTCCTTTATATATGTTCAGACCTACTGCTGCTACACTGGTTGTCTACTCAGGCATTTGTTGTTGTGTGTGGAATAGAAAGTCTAGATCATCTGCAAAGTCCTGATCGTCTAGCTGCATACATGCTGTCCATTATCACACTATGTGGCACTAATAAATTTGAGGAGCACGATTTTTCAAATTTACGGCTGTCAGACATCCTTAAGGTTGACAATATGTACCTATTTACCATATTTTGCTTATCCGACAGTGCTTAAAATAGCAGCAGCATCGTACAGCAAGCTTGTTTTCCCCTAATCCATTTCATAAAATGATTTTTCGTTGATTTATGTCTTGTTGTAACGTAGGAACATCTTGATTAAAATGTGAGCGATAAAATAATTTTGTGATCGCAGACCTTAGGTGACATTATTTGAAAATAAGCTGTAGTAGATCATATGAAATAATTCTCTATATTTTCCGGAACACTGAGTTTTATTAACATTAAGTTTTCTCGATTTCTCCATTTCGTTCGCTTTTCAACGATACTTCATATAAGTGGCTTTATATTTTTACGGTCACTATTTTACTAACCTCTTTCATTGCAGTCGTGTTGCTTTCCTGTTGATGTTAAATGTGGTAACTTTAATGGGCGGCTATTCATGCCAAACTCTACTTCGTTTGTGACCAACTAACCATTCACTTGAATATGCAGCACCCTAATTAAGTTTACTAGTTAAAGCCTCGACAAAAAAGTGTTTGAACAGAGCATTTAATTTAGTTTAGTAGATTGTTATTCTTACAAGGAATGGATCTCTGTTGGTAATCTTGAAAAAATTGAAGAAAGGAGGAACAAGAAGGCAGCAGTGAATGTCAGCCGAACAAGAGCAAAGAAAGTTAAGGCACAAGCTGCATACACAGAAGCAAACAGGGAAGTGAAGAAGAGCATCAGAGCTGACAAACGAAAATATGTGGAAGATCTAGCAATGACGGCGGAAAAGGCTGCAAGAGAAGGAAACATGAGACAATTGTACGAAACAACAAATAAGCTCGCCGGAAACTATCGTAAACCAGAACAACCAGTGAAAAGCAAGGAAGGGAAAATAATCAGCAACACTGAAGAACGGCGAAATAGGTGGGTAGAGCACTTTAAGGAACTCCTGAATCGAGCAGCTCCACTGAACCCACCCAACATCGAAGCAGCATCCACGGACCTCCCAACTAAAATTGGCGCACCTACAATTGAGGAGATCAGTATGGCCATCAGACAAAACAAGAGCGGCAAAGCAGCAGGACCAGACAACATTCCAGCAGAGGCAATGAAAGCAGATGTAGAAGCAACTGCGAAAATATTTTACATCCTCTTCAAGAAGATTTGGGATGAGGAACAAGTACCAACAGATTAGAAAAAAGGATACCTTATCAAATTACCGAAGAAAAGGAGATCACAGTAAATGTGAAAACTATAGAGGCATCACTATGCTCTCTATACCAGGAAAAGTCTTCCACAGAGTATTGTTAAACACAATGAAGGACTTCGTAGACGCCCAACTTCGAGATCAACAGGCCGGATTTCGTAAGGATCGATCGTGTACTGACCAAATTGCTACATTACGGATCATTGTGGAACAATCAATTGAATGGAACTCACCACTCTACATCAACTTCATCGACTACGAGAAGACATTCGACAGCGTGGATAGGAAAACACTGTGGAGGCTTCTTCGACACTACGGTGTGCCTGAGAAAATAGTTAACATCAAACGGAATTCTTATGATGGATTAAACTGCAAAATCCTTCACGGAGGTCAGCTGACAGACTCTTTCGAGGTGAAGACCAGTGTCAGGCAAGGTTGCTTACTCTCACCCTTTCTCTTTCTCCTGGTCATCGACTGGATTATGAAGACGTCGACGTCTAGAGGGAAGCACGGTATCAACTGGACAGTTAGGACGCAGCTGGACGATCTGGACTTCGCAGATGACCTGGCTCTTTGATCGCACACTCAACAACAGATGCAAGAGAAGACGACCAGTGTAGCAGCAGCCTCTGCAGCAGTAGGTCTCAACATACATAAAGGGAAAAGCAAAATTCTCCGATGCAACACAACATGCACCAAACAAATCACTCTTGATGGAGATGCTTTCGAGGACGTTAACAACTTTACATATCTGGGCAGCATCATCGACAACCAAGGTGGATCCGATGCAGATGTGAGGGCGCGGATTGGCAAAGCGAGGGCTGCATTTATACATTTGAACAACATCTGCAGCTCAAAACAGCTATCATAAAACGCCAGTCAGAATTCTTAATTCAAATGTCAAGATAGTCCTACTGTATGGAGCGGAAATTCGAAAAACTACCAAAGCCATCATCCAGAAGATACAAGTGTTTATGAACAGTTGTCTACGCAAAATAATTCGGATTCGTTGGCCAGACACTATCAGCAACAACGAACTGTGGGAGAAAACAAACCAGATTCCAGTGGAGAAGGAAATTAGGAAGAAGTGGTGGAAGTGGATAGGACACACATTGCGGAAAGCACGCAACTGCTCCACAAGACAAGCCCTCACATGGAACCCTCAAGGCAAAAGGAGAAGAGGAAGTCCAAGGAACACACTACGCCGAGAAATAGAGAAATACATGAGAAGAATGAACAAACGTTGGACAGAACTGGAGAGGGAAGCCCAGGACAGAGTTGGTTGGAGAAAGCTGGTGGGCGTCCTATGCTCCAGTGGGGGTAACAGGCGTAAGTAAGTAAGTAAGATTGTTATTCTTAGTTTTTTCAATTTTAATAAAACGTATAAAACAAGTTGACATTATCGGTAATAATTGGTTTAGATTAGCAATCGATTGACTTTAGATTGACAATAATGTATATTTATAATTTATTTAGCTGATAATTTTAAAAGCTCTATCATTTTGCTACAGAATCATGGGTTAAGTCAACTAAAAAGATTTAAGACAAAAGGATTAATCCTGAGATCTAAATATTGGTATCCTTGTAAACTCATTTTATTAACTAACGCAATATTACATCGGCACTTTAACGAACTGCCAGTAAACTATATATTAAATTATTGTTAAGTTATAAAGACTTCCGAAACTTTGAATAGTTTTATAATTTGAATTGTTTACAATACACTATCTTACGTAGTTTTCAAGAGGTCTTTTACTTCTTTCATTGACTTACTCCGTAATAGTAATGTCAAAGTGGATCGTGATTGAAACCTGTTGTTAGTCTAAAGTTCACCTGTAACCTTTTCACCTTCCGAACATAATTAGGTGTACTTATGAAAACGATTAATTTTCCCAATGGAATTTATAAAACTGTTGCTTAGCATCTGAATATCTGGTCCAAAACGACAAGTTTTAGACGAGTAACACGCAACTAGTTTACATGTGGACACATGAATGCG